GCCGTGCCGGGGGCAGGCATTGGTGCCATTGTCCCACAGCTGCCTCCGTCACCCCGCAGAACTGAGCCCCAGCACGCCCATGAGATGGAAATCCAGCTGTGCCCAGTGAGACATCCCCCCTGTGGGAAAAAGCCACCCTGTTCCACTCAGACAGTGAAAGTTTTTTAATAAATACCTTTTTTTGCACAGAAATATACCTAGTTGTACAGAATAGAAACTGCAGGGATAATGACCTAGCATCAGACAGAGGAGGCAGAGTGCCCTTCTGTCTCCCTCTGGTCTTTTCCAAGCTCTGACCCCGACATTAGTTGTCAGGTCTTCCCATAACCCCGATTTGCTAAGGCCGAAAGGCAGAGTAAAGGCCTGGGAGGGGACAGACAAGGTGCCAGCAGCTGCAAACCCTGCGCGTCCTGCCCCAGGAACGGCCACGCTGGGCAGACCTCAGCTCTGGGCTGAGGGCACCTGCTGCGAGAGCGCTGCTGGGACCGAGCGGGGTGCAGGCAGCCGATGGATGTACAGGAGCCTTTCAGTGCTGGTGGAGAGACTGGTGCTGGGGTGGACACCAAGGGGTGGCAGTACTGGGAGTTTCTGGGCTACTCCTGGGACGCTGATGAGCACAACCCCCTTTGTAACCCATCAGACATGACTGGGAAAGGGCAGCCCTGTTGCTTGGACCCCAAAAGCAGCTGCCGAGGAAAAGGGGATGCTGCGGTCCCACAGCACAGCACCTGGCTCTGCCCTGCCCTGGCACCACAACCACCTGGTCAGGCTCAACAGTGTTTGGCCCTACTCCCGACCCACTGGCATCGCCGGGTTGTGGCACGATCAGTCAGCTCTCACCTCTGCAGCACCTCTGTCAGCAGGCCCGCCGTGCCACGACTGTGGCCACCAAGCACTCTGCCCACCAGAGGGACCTGGAGGAGAGCGGGGTCTCACACTCCCCTTTACCTGCTTGTGAGGACAAAGAGCCCCAAAGGGCCAGGCAGGATGGAGAGGTTTGGGGTAGGGAGAGTGGAGAGTTGGCCTGTCTGCAGGCTCCCTGTGCTGGCATCCCACCTCTGGGGCAGACATCAGACAGACCATGCTCCAGGAAAGAGGAGCATCCCCACCGCTTAAAGCCATGGGACCACCTTTGGCTCAAGGTCAGAGATGACCCCATCGGCCATCTCCGCTGCAGCCAGACCTCCAGCTGCCTGGGACCCCGCAGGGGGAAAGCGGAGAGCACCAGGAAAAGGACCTGCTACTCCAAAGTCACTTACCTCATGTACAAGACCACCACGAGCCTTTCCTCCTTTCCAAAGGGATCTAGGAGATCACAGAGCACTTCCCTGATTGCTCCTCCCTGATCTCCAGACAGCGAATATCACTACAGGTGACCAGGCTCCCCACTCCCAGCCGGCAGCAAATCCACACAAGGGAGGCACTTTCTCCCCAGAGCATGGACACCGACTGTGTGGATCGCCAGCCATTCACCGCACCCCTCCTGCATCCCCAGCTCCTAGTCAGAGCCCCAAGCAGCAAGACGGGGCATGGTGAGGACATGGGGTAAGGCTGAGCAGCACCCCAGGGAGGCAGCGAGGCTGTTTTAATCATGGGAAATGTTATGTCTATTCCGGGGGAAGAGAGGAAATCAAATGCACCATGGGGAAACCCCCACATTGAGCCAGGAACAAGCTGCCGCTCTGCTCTGGCTGCTACAGCACTTAGGTGAGCAGAGAACGAGGGGCAGGAGACAGCTGGCTGGCTCCAGAGCCATCCCCGCAGCCCAGCCTCACCCCAGTTGGGGACAGCTATTTTTGGTTAGGAGGGTAAGGCTATTGTGTGATGGCACCAGCTCGTACAGGTGAGACAGGGTGCCGACTGGCACCTGAAGGGGGTCCGGGGCAAGGCAAAGGGAGGGTGGGTGGGCGAGCATGAGTGTGTGAAGAGGCAGGAGGGATGCAGACCCACTATTTGCCTGCGGCAGGGTCAGTGGCCACAATCTCTTCGTACTTGGGCGGCGGGTCATTGTAGGAGATGCTGGTCTCTTCACCACTGCTGCTCTCTGGGTGGCCTGTCACCTCCTCATAGGACGGCGGAGGAGTGGCACTAGACAGTCTGGAGAGGACGGAGACCGAATGCTCTGGCGGGTAAAGGGTACCATCTTGCTGGGGGGTGCCCCCAGCTCTGCCGTCTCCAGCCGCCCGGTTGCTCGCTTCTCGCTGACACGGGGTTTCCCCTTGGCTTTGCGACCGCTCCCGGTACACCATGACCCTGGGGAGGCTGCGTCCCGTTCGGCTGGCCAGGTAACGGTTCTGGGCATAGGAAGGGCGGTGGCGGGTGGCCTTTTGAAGTTGGCACCTCCAGATGATGAAGAGGGCGATGACTATCAGAAGAGCCACTCCCAAGAGAGGCACCACCACGTACATAGCGTCTGAGCGCTCCGTGCTGTGCCCGGGGTCCTTGACAGAGTAGACAGAGTTGGTGTAGCCCTTCCAAAACTCCATCTATGGCAGGAACAGAGAAGCAACCATCATGTGCTGCGGGTGGGACAAGTACCCCCTGCCCACCACAGCAATAATCACTGCCCTCCCTAGGCCCACAAAAGAGGCAGTTTTTTGGCCATCCCCCACCACTCTCACCAGGGCTTGCCAGCATCTGAGGCACTGTGGAAACCAACACAAAAGATGATAGGAACATCCCTCAACAGTGGCCAACAGCCCCCACACCAAGCAGGGAGACATTTGGCTAACACCAACCCCAGCCTGGAGAGTCAGGGACAACAGCAGAAATTTCCCACACGTGTCATGGGAGTGCCAGCTTGACCTGCAGCTGTGGGCAGGGTGTCCTGGCAATACCAAGGTGAGGGCGTTGCCTGGGAAGGGAAAGTCATGCTGGAAAGGGAGGTCACAGCATGCTGCCTGCAGACAGAAGAGGACAAAAGGAACAGGAGAGGCTGTTCCCCCTGTGCTTTCCTTCTCCACACCCAGCTTGCTAAGGTGTAAGCCCTCACACATCCACTGGGGAGCAGGGCAGGACAAACACACCGTCTTCTCCTTGTTCTCGAACACTTCCTTGACCTCCTCATAGCTGCAGACCTCCTCAATGCACTCCCGCTCGATGGTGCCCTGCCGGATCTCCTCCAGGAAGCCGTTGGCTCGGGGAAAGCGCTTCAGGACTGAGTGGGCATTC